TTCCACAATGTTATATTGGCACTTCAGTAACTTCACATTTTTATTTATTTGTCAAAAGCACCAGAATCACTGCTCTTCAAGTATTTATTAGTCATTTATAAAGTGTAAACAGTATAATCATTATGAAGCCACAAACAGTCAGTTTTCTCAACCTTTTAACAAAATGTTTCAGAGTTCGGAGAAAAATGTGCAGCTAAATGTGTGAGGTCTCTGCAGTTTAAGAAAATGGAATTCACACACACACATGCACGCACACATGCACGCACGCACACACACGTGGTTTTATCATTTTGCAAGTATTTCACTTTGTCTGATTCCAGGTTTTACTTGTGTGCAAGAAAAAAGCCTTTGCACAAACAGATCTATTCGATGTCTGCTCTTAACTTTTTTGATTTTCGGGGTTTGTTTTTTTAATTTGCTTTATTCATTTTAACATGATCTTTTGTCTATGAATGTACTGGGTATGCAATGTTTAACTGCACAAAAATATTAAATAAGAAGAAGGTTTCTTTGGTCGTTTTCTAACATTTTTTAATTTATTATGATTTTAGCTAAACTCGTCGTTGAGACCGATACGTTTGGGAGTCGAGTGCGCATCAAGGGTGCTGTGACGGGCCTCTACATCTGCATGAATAAGAGGGGGAAGCTCATTGGCAAGGTGAGGACAAAGCTCCGTACCCAGCTGAAGCTGAGGTGAACAGCAGGCTGACTTATAGCTCGGGTCAAAATGTCAACGGTTGTAGCAGGACAGCACACGGAGGTCGGCGAGGACGAAGTGTTTGTTCTACAGACTAATAGAAAACCTCAGGGTCAAACAGATGAGAACAAAGGTTGACACAAGACCTAATAATTAGTCAAAAACTTTCTGGATAAAATGACTGAACTTGATTTTATCCAAATTTAGTGAGGCAGCTGACAGGCTCTGTTCTCTTACCATGAGATGAAACAATCTCTTTATTTATCACTTATAAAATAGTATTTTCTCAAATTAGCCATTTGATTTATTTACTTAAATCAGGGATCTGCAACGTTTGCGATAAAAAGAGCCATTTTTCACACTTTGTTTACTAATTATGAGACTGGAACTGCAAAACCTGCAGCAACTCTTAACTGGTGGCCCGTGGGCCACTACAGGTTTGTTGGAGATGGCTTTTCCAGCCAGTGGGGGTGAAATAAGAAAAAATATATAATTTGTAACAATTTTACAAAAATTAAAACACTGAACTCTGCAGGCCGATGTGAGTTCTCTTAATTGTGGATTAAGTTTCCTACTAAAATCATAAAGTTAAAGACAATAAAATTAGGCCAGTTGGTTGGATATCCAATTACATTTTAAAGAAAAATAAATACTTTCGTTTACTTTGTTTTTTGTTTTTTGTATTTTATTCTTAGTGTTATCAAAGTTACTCAGCATTTTACTTCTCAGCAGCTTGTCTTAAAGATATTCCAGAACATTCTGGTGGTTTTGAGGGAAAGATCAGCTGAGAGACTGGAAGATGACTTAAAGTGGCTAACAAACTACTAGCATGATGTACTCCACATGCCTTACGCTGTGTATTTGTACTATCCTTCACATATTTGAAAATAACAGGAAATCTGCCAAAACTAGTCGTTTACATTGTTGGTAATAAATGAAATAAAATTCAGTTTTATTTTAGTTTTGGTCAAAGCTTGAAAGAGAGGGACCAAAGAGCCACATGTGGGCCCAGAGCCGCAGGTTGCAGACCCCTGACTTAAACTGATTAGGGAAACATGTTTTTGGGAGTGGCAGGCTTATAACTGTCATGGTTACCAGTAAGACTTGTTACAGTGTCCATCATTGTTTCATTTAACATCTCAGAACAAAATATGGAGCTGTTTTCGTGAGCACTTAGCCTGTTTTATTGTCAGATCCATTTATGTTGAGGTAGTAAAAGTACATGAATGCATGTGGGAATGTACATGCCCACTTTTCTCCACAGTTTTGTCTCATAAAAGTAAAAATATGTAAATTTGATATATAAATAAAGATGCTCTGCTCTTTATGAAAAAAATCCATAAATACGTTGCTTTGGTGTATAAGTCGCAGGACTTGCAAATTATGTAAAAAACTGACTTATAGGCAGAAAAAGACGGTTTGTATTGTGTCTATCTATGTTGTTTGCTGTTGTAGACTTTTTTGATTCCTCTGTTAAGGACACGATGTGAGAGATCTTTTTTATATAACTCTCCTTATGTGTTTTCCCATTTTCTATCTACGTAATAAGGGCGGCGCTTCTTAGAAGCTGCAGCCCCTGTACACCGTCGTCCATCTTTAGGTCAGCTGTACAGAACGTTAGCTCGCTGCACTTAACTGTTCAGTGACAATAAAGCTCATTCTGACTGATTCTGAAATATTAAAGTATTGTTAAAGATTTAAGAAAACCACGGTGATGTCTCCTGTCAGGTGAATGAACATATCATCACTGTTGGCCTCGTCTCTTACAAATGTTTACTTTTCAAGAAACAAAGAAATCACCTTTCTTTTCAAGTAAATTGATTCTGTGTACGTCATTTTGACACTTATTATTTTTAGTGTATAAAACCACACCGAACTAAAGGAGGAGCAGGAGAGATTACTTTTGCAAAAACACAAAAATAATAAAAATTTGAAACACATGGGCTGACCTAACATCAAGGATACTTCAAGGCGACGTGTGAAAATCATTTTGGTATACTTAACACTTCCTGTGGTGTATTATATTAAAAAAAATACTTTTATATTTTACTGGATAAAACCCTCCTGTTTAGGAAATACTTTTACGATGGATCAGGCCAAAGTAATTTACAAAAATTAATAAAAGAGCACAAATGTGGGAAACTAATGAAAACACTTCATCTAAGCAATAAAACTGTAAACCAGCAAATTTATTTCACCAAATTGATCGGTTAAAAGTGTAAAAAAGTGTATTTTGTATTTGTGATTTGTATAATAAACGAACAAGCACAGTTTTTCTTTAGGTTTTTTTAATTTTTGGTCTCTCTCCCTTCGTGTGGATCGTTTTTTTGTTTTTTTTGCACCAGCCCTTCTCTGGTCTTAACAAGCCACACAGTTCTAGAGAAGAAAATACATTTGACTACAAAATAACATGAACCTCATGAGTTAATAATAATAAATATTTATATTAAGTACATTTGTGATGTCAGCAAAACTAATCCTAAAATAAACTAATATAGTGGAAAAAATGATCCAGTTTCTAAAAGTGTTTTGACCCAACGTAGTCTGCAGTGAACTGTTGCACCTGTTCGGAGGATCAACTTAAAGATTTCAAACCTGACTGAAATGATCTTTAAATGTATATTTACAGATTTTAATGGAAGCATTAGGGATGTGAGGAAACATAGTGAGGATCAAATGAACTGCGTTATCATGAGACATTCAGAAACAAATGTTGGGCAGACTTTACTTTCACACGATGATCGCTACTCAAAAGTTCTGGGCTGGATGTGTCTTTAGACGTGTGTGATGTCCGTTAAGGCTTAGCACGCTGCTTTCACTGTGATTGCTAATACACAGCCCCCCACCCCTTACCCTCCACCCACCCAAGCACCCTGCCTCGAATACCATCTGCCTGAAGCCACCAGGCCGGTTACAGTCGAACTCAGCCCCGGTGTGTGTGCATTTATGTAAATGAACAATGTGTGTTTAAGGATGTACGCACATTTATTATTGGTCCATGATTATTTTGACACTAGTTTAAAAAATTGAAGGTTGTTCGATTTGGCCCATTTTACATTAGGTTAGTGACAGGCTGTGAGGGATTCCAGTTAGTTGTGTGAATGCTTCACACTGTTGACATCCAAGTTTCCTATTCTAAATTATTCTGTACATTTTTTTGGCATTGCTCTCATTTCACAACTTTTGTGATATTTCAACAAATCATAAACGTTCAGCTCCTTCAGGACAATCCTGCTGTGACTTTTGGTACTGGTGCAACATTGGCTTTTTGAAACATTTAATCTTTTCTGCCATTTTTTTCCTCATAGAAAATGAATTGAGCTCCTTCAGATCTTTAGATCTGTTCACAAGCTTTTACTGCTCTTTTCACTTTTTGTTCTGCTTCAGCGCCTTTCAGCTTTCTTGTGCAAATTTGAACTTTTTTAAGCTGCTTCCAGCTAATTTCAGCTGTTTTGTGCTTTTTTCAGATTATTTCTGCTAACTAAAACATTTTTGTGCATCTTCTAACTTTTGATGCTAATTTCAACTTTTATACTCTGGTCATCTTATTTCTGCAAGTTTCAGCTTTTTCTGCTTGTTCAGCTACTATTTAGCTGTTGTTATGCTAATTTTAGTTTTTTCATGAAATTCCACATTTATTGCACTCAAATAGCCTTCAATCAAAGTGTGCTCTCTCCACTCCCTTCTGGTAATTTAAGCTTCTTTCTGATATTTTAGCTACTTTTCAGCTGTTTATTTTGTTGTTAATTTTTAGCTGTTTTCAGATAATTTCCACTAGTGTTTGCTAATTTCTACTTCTTTCAGCATAATTGGGCAAACGTGTTTTTCTGCGTTCTTGTGCTAATTTAAGCTTGTTCTACCTTTTCAACTAGCTTTTTAGCATTTTTAGCTAATTCCAGCTGTTTTGAGAAAAATTCAAATTTTTTTTGTGGTAATTTCTGCTACTTTTAACCTACCGGTAATTAACTTCTTTATGCTAATTTTAGCTTGTGATGCTCTTTTCAGCTTTTTCTGCTAGTTTCAGTTATTTCTGCTATTTCAGCAACTATTTAGCTGTTTTATGCTAATTTTAGCTTTTTCAGCTAATTCCATATTTTTAGCTCATTTCAGCTCTTTCCACTTTCTTCTGGTAGTTCAAGCTTCATTCTTCATTTCAGCTACTTTTCAGCTATTTTTGGGGGGCTAATTTCAGATGATTTTTTTTAGCTAATTTCCTAATTTTTGTGATAATTTGTTAATTTAAACCTAACTCAGTAAAAATGTTTTCTGCCTGCTTTCTTCTCTGCTAATTAAGTCTTGTTCTGTAATTTTAGCTACATTTCAGCATGTTTTTAGCTAAGTTCAGCTGTTTATCAGCAAGCAATAAGCTTTTTCACAGGAAATGCAGTTTCTCTAGTTTTCATTTGAGATTTCCACCAGAAGGTGACACATCTTTAAGATTCTTATCTACTTGAGCTTTGCAGTTCTCGAAAGCATTGGTTTCCAAAGTTGGGGATTTGTAACAACATCCATCCATCCATCCATCCATCCATCCATCCATCCATCCATCCATCCACCCATCATATTTACCCGCTTCTTAACAACATATTTTGGAAACTTAAAAATAAAAACAGTGGTTTATTTGTATTTGTATAAACAGTAGTCAATCATGAATACACATTATATATTGATTGATGAGGCTATTTGTTTAGTCGGTACAATATAAGTTTTCATTTAATAATCATCTGCTGCCTAAAGTCCGTCTGAAACTAAAATATTTTATGAAGTGCTGGACTAATTTTAATGAAACATTCAGTAAATATTCATTAGGTTTCCTTAAATGACAAACATTTGGAGCCAACCTTCCAAGATGGTTGTCACATCTAATTGTGCTTAAAAACTTATTTGTCATCTGTGCAGGTATTGATTTATAATTTGGTGTGGGAGTAGCTAAAATAAATCTCCAAAAGATAACCAGAGCACTAATGTTTGTACCAGAAATATTTCATAAATATTTCATG